GGTTGATTGAATTAAGAGAGATCAATTATTACTGTGGTCTGGTTGATTATGCGCTTCCTGTTACTGTGGTGTGACTTTTATTTTGCTTTGCATCTTGTGGGTTGAATAGGGGTATCATAATCCATCTCACTTTATTTGGGAGATCTTTTATGTTGTGGGCTGTATATTTGGGTGGTGACTTTTATTTTGGTGCAATATAGGAGGTGATGCTGGCCCTCCATGCCCAAGCAAAGGCAGATGGGAATCCACTGCTGGGTCCTGACATCGTTCAGAAGGTCTTGCAGAGGAAGCTCAAGTATGGACGTAAAGAAGCAGTGAGGAAGTCGGCAAGAGAAGTTCAGCTAAAAGCAGAACTGGCAGCAGCAAAGGCAGAGGCGGAAAGTAAGACCAAGGAGTTGGAGGCCAAGCTGGTAGAGCAGGATGAGAAGATTAAAGCTCGGGATGAGGAGATTGAAAAACATAAATTAGAGCTTGATATGCAACATGAAAGTTTGGCTAACCAAGGGGAAAAGATGGAACAAATGCGCTTGGCACAAGAGAAGATGCAAAAGAGTATGGAATCCGTCCTCGCCAAACTCAGCAGGAAATGATTGCACCAGGTACATAGCTATTATTGAATGCATGAATTTCATCTATAGAACTTTGTCAATCTATTAGGAACAATTATGCACGAATGTGAAGTCTCAATCTAGCTTCTTCTCAAATTGCAAGTGCAGGTGTGGACGCATCCCTGCACGACCGTGTATTCATATGACTTGAGGAGGTCGTCCTTAGCGAATGTTTTCCTGGACGGATATATTTATAAGTAGTTGTCAGCTGCAAACCCATTTTGGACAATATGGTTGTGTCGAACAGAATGTAGAAGTGTGTGATGTGATGCAGGAATATTATCTATTTTGCGTCTTTGTAAGCTGTGAGCTAGGACCCTGAATATTCAGCAAACAGCGTTTACTAAATGAATGTGACTGTCGGCTTGTTTTATGACATGTTTTATGTCTATTTCGCTTGTCACATTTACTGCTTACAGGAACGAACAAATTATGACAATGTTCCATTATCACTTTATGTTTTAAATATGACAAACAATTCAGTATCATGACGTATATATTGTCAGATAAATGGTAATACGACAAAGGAGATCCATATTATGACAAACTGGACCGTCACTGAATACATAAAATATGACAAAATTATGTTATCATATGTGATTTCTAAGGGCACGTGCCCTACAGCGTAAAGTGACGAATGTGAATGACAAACAGTTCCCTCATAATATCTCGTTTAGTCAGTTGGTTGTATTAAAGTGTGATAAAATAAACAGTCTAATGTGACAAGATCTTTCGTTATGGTAGGACAACATATTATGACAACGATATATTGTCAAGTTGTCCGAACAATATTATGACAACCGAAAAATTAAACTTTGTCACATTAGACCTAATACGACGGAGCAAAGCTGATAAAGCCATTTTGTCATAACACTTGTCACATTAGACAAACAGTGACAAAATGGCACACTAAAATGACAAATTGGGTGCGTCACAAAATACCTAATTTCTTGTAGTGTATGCCTAAACTGAAATACCCCGTTGCCCACCCTTACAGTGAACGAGAGATGTTGGACTGTAGGACAATGGTATACACCAAATGATAGACAGAGGAAGTAGTCTGTATTCATAATGCTGATTATTATAACAAATGCTAATAACAATGACCCATCCTATCAAAGACTACAAACTTGATTAGGTTGACATCATTCATCCAATTCACATAGGATAAATTGTAAGTTTGGCCACTGTAATTACTAAAACATTTCACGTTTGCCACTAAAATTATTTTATTTCATTCCTTATCACTAAGATTAGTTTAACAGTTCAAGTTTGGTCACTCTCCGTTAGTCTTCGTTAACTTTTTCTAATGTGATAGTCAACTCTAATAGTTGATCGTTAAATAAGTGAGGTGGCAATGGGCCGATCTTTCAAAAAGAATTGATTGTCAAGATGGTGTTAGGTGGGGGAAAGAAGCAGCCAAGGCAAGAATACCGGTGGGTGGACCACATGAATTTGAAGAAATTAAATTAAATTTTGTATTATTTTAATTTTTCACGTCACTCTTTAATGGTCAACTATCAGAGTTGACTGCCACATCAGAAAACGTTAACAGAGAGTGACCAAATTTGAACTGTTAAACTAATTTTAGTGACCATGAATAGAATAAAATAATTTAAGCGGTAAACGTGAAATTTTTAGTAATTCCAGTGGCTAAACTTGCAATTTACCCAATTCACATTTGTACAACCTCGTGCATAGCCCCATCTTAAGCGATTAAGTGCACCAACTATCCCGCGCTAAATTTGTACATAAGTGTCACGATATCTTTCATGAAGTATTTCAATAGCAAGCACTTGTCTCATGTCGCTCCAATACCTCTAGTCCCCTCAAATGACATGTGAAATTGCACCAAACTAGCAATGACCATCTTCAACTTGATCATACCAATCAAGAAAACGGGAGCGATGCCATTTCGAAGGAGCCAAATATGCATAAATCGGCACCTTACAAGATAAAATTAACATAAATCAATTGTAGGCGGGTGGGACATACTTGCTTCACTTATGTTATGAACCATTAAAACGAGTTTCCGTACTGCCCTTTTATGGTTTGGGATGCAAGAGTCTCTTGTCTCATTAATCAAGAAACAAGGACTTGGAGTAGTGACTTGCTTAAGCTCATTTTTACTACAGAGGAGCAACATGCTATTTTGGCCAAGGACGTGTTATGTTGGACCAATGCGGATGATGGAAAATATTCAGTTAAGTCAGGATATATTACTGAACAAAAAAATAAGGGAGGTGGAAAGGGTGGAGAATGTGGAACAGAATGAAGAAGGATTTTGCTGGAAGGATCTATGAAAGCTAAACATGCCAGGTAAACTTAGAACTTTTTTGTGGAAAGCTGCTCATAACATTCTGTCAGTGGGTGTTAAAATCAGTAAGAAAGTTAAGAATCTTGGGGATGAATGCCCTAATTGTGGAGTGCAGGAATCTCTCAAGCATTGCCTGGTTGACTGTAGTTGGAACGCTCGAATTTGGAGTAAGACCCTATTGCTGAAATGTTCTACAAAGCAGAAGGTCTCACTTGTAAAAAGTGGCTCCACCATGTTCTGCAAAATTATACAGCAAAGGAGGTGGCCTAGTTTTGCTCTTTACTTTGATTTTTCTGGAAGGACAGGAACAACTTCCTCTTCGACAACAAATTTCTCCAAAAATGGGAAGTGTTCCCTAGAGCTAATGAGTTTATCCAATGCTTTCTGAAAGTGCAGGGCAAAGGGGAAAGGGAACATAGAACCAGGAGCAAAAGAAAGGAGGGAGTGCAAATGGAGAAAGCCTCCTATGGGTGTTCTTAAGCTGAATACTGACTTTGGGATAACTAAAAGAGGGGAAGTTGGTCTAGGATGCATCCTTAGAGACTGGAATGGAGCAGTGGTGTTTGCGGCGAATAAGAGAATCAAAGTCAAATGGCCACCTGACGTAGCAGAGGGAATGTCAATTCGGTTTGGGTTGCAAATGATGGTTAATTTGGAGATTGGTCATATCGAGGTTGAATCAAACAGTTGGAAAGTTGTCAAATTGTTGAGTGAAGGTAATGAGTGTAGAACCGAGCTGGGGAACATTTGTTGTAGGGATGGCAATGGGTCGGGTTGGGTCGGATTTTTTCAAACCCAAACCCAAACCCATGGGTTTATCCGTGAAAAAAACCCGGGGTAAAGCCCACTGGGTTTGAAAAACTCAAACCCAACCCAACCCAACCCGTTGGGTATCCGCGGGTTCATGGGTACCCACGGATTTTTGTCGTAAAAATTTACAATAACAAGTTCCTATCAAAATTAAAGTCAAATATCAATCTCTCTATACAAATTATTCATATATAAAACACCATTCTAGAAAATTCAAGCAAATCACAAATTAACTATACAAATTGTTCAACACTAATCTAGAAAACTCAAGAACATTGATGCAAATCACAAATTATCCATAAATAACATGATTAATTGAAAACTTCTTCCTTTCAATTAAGTTTCTTCACTCTCCACTCGATAACATCAACTTCATTCTACACAATTAGAAAGAAAAAATTAGACATGTCTCCACAAACATAAATAAGATTGGTTGTTTAGAGTATTAAATATACATAGAAAATTAATTATATGGGTGTGGGCGGGTACCCATGGGATCGGTTTACCTAAACCAAAACCCAACCCGATGAATAGTGAACGGGTTTAAACCCAAACCCGGCCCAAAACCCGTCAACACGGATTTTACCCGCGTTGACCAGGTTGGTTCGGGTGGGTACTCGTGGGTTTGGGTTTTGTTGCCATCCCTAATTTGTAGTGACATTCTGAAGGTTTCAAGTAATCTTGATATAACAGGCTGGAAGTTTATGTTGCCCATCAATTAGCTCACATTATGTCTACTTCTGATGATATCCTGTTTTGGTAGTATAATTTGCCATTGATGATTGCTGATGTTGTCACCCTTAAGACATTATCTTCTTGATTTCAATTCACATCAGTTAACACGAGAAATTTTACAATGCTATATAGTATTGGTGCTATAGGTTTTTGCCTTTATAGTACAACTTAAAATTGTATATTTACGTTATGGTACAACTTTAGATTGTACCTATAGTTTTTGTACAAATTCTTTTATGATACAACTTGAACTTGTACCTTTATGTGATGGTACAACTTCAAGTGGTAAAGTTGTACCATAACATAATGATACAAATTACTTTATGATACAACCTAAACTTATACATTTAATGTTATGGTACAACTTTGAGTTGTACGTTAAAGCACCAATGCTATATAGCATAGTAGAAGTGATAAGTTAACACTAAAAAAAGAGTTGACAAACTTTTATTTGACATAAAATCGAAACAAGCGTTGCAAATTGCAATGAAAGAAAAATAAAAGGAAATAAAAAAGATGTTCTTGAGATGGGAAAAACGAAGAGTTGAGAAAAGCATACACCAAACCCCTAACACGTCGCAGAGAGGGACGATTGATTATGCTGCCCGCAGCAGCAAATAAACCCTTCTCCCATTTCAAACACTTCCTCCATCCTCCATCTTTAGCCTTCTACGCCACCGTCATTTCTTCTATGGATTCTCCACCCAGATTCCTCCAACCCACACTCTCGAACTCCGCAGCTCGCTCCCCTCCGAGATTATCCGACATTGGTGACGGGTCGATAACGTTGCAGGAGTGGCAACGATGGGGCCCCGTGTCTCCGATACCTTCCAAGGTTTTGGAGGTTATCGACGAGTTGAAGCTTCTGGAGAAAAATGTTGATACCCAGATGAGCTTTGGCGGTTCTGGAGGAAAACTTAAGGTAATTTCTAGTCAGAACAAGACACTCTGCTTTGTTAGTATGTGGGAAGATAGAGCAATGATGATGGGGAATATGAAACTGATTTTTTCTCCTTAGGTAGCAATTGAATAGGGCAATTTAATTTGTCTCTTCAACTAATTATGCCCAACTGTCAAATTGCCAGGGCGACTTTAGAACCCATGAGGAGAAGAAGCACAGAGCAACGTATTTGGCTTTAGATGACCCTGAAAGCAAGATCCATTTCTATGCAGCTCGTCAAATTGCTTGCCGTTTGCTTGGAAGTAGAGGTTATCTTTGCCAGAAGGTGCTTATTTTCGGGGTTTAAATTGATTAATGTGTTTCTTCCTGCTGCTCATGTACTGAATCTTTAAAGGGTAGGCGTGTCTTCTTTGTTTCTGTGTCTTTTGGCCGAAAAGACTTGGCTCCCATCTTTTTTGAGCTAGTATTTTCCCAGTTTTTGGCGACTTTGGCTTTTGCACTGCATAATCTTGGTTCTTCGTAATAGGAATTCAATTGGTTTGCAGTGCTGGCTTCCCTTGGAAGAAGATTGCATGTGTTCACTACTGAAGCCATGTACATTGTGGCCTGGGATACGATTCTGGATATATATGCATCCAAAGGTTTGAAATTGTTTCGTTCTAGTTTCTGGATATGCTTTGCTGTTGTTGATAGGAGGCTTTGATCACAGGACCAACTTCGTGCAGGACTTCTTACGACAGAACAACACTGGGAAGCTGTTGTGGCAAATTTTTGGACCTCATTCAGCCACTTTATGTATTTTTGGCATATCTGAACACGAGGAGATTATGTGGAATGCATTTAAATCTGCAGGTTCGTCTCAACTTACTGGCTTTATTATTGGCTCCTATTTGCTAATGATTATTTACTGCAGCCATGCACCCAAGCATAGTGAATAACTTGCTTTTCCTTGGGGAGCTAATGTTCAGGTTGTGATGCTTTGAAACAGATGCACACTTGATGCCATAGTCTATATATTTATGATGTCATTTGACTTCTTTTGTTCTCCAAAGACCATATTGGCAAGTTGAGTTTCCGGTTACTGATTCTTTTTCATGATGGTTGTAGGAAAAAGCAAGGTCTGGTGTCTTTACCCTAATAAAAATTCCGTGACAACATCAGTCCAGGAAGCTTTTGGTCAAGAATCTTCAGCAAATCAAGATATCACTCCGAATCTGGTACGTTTTTGTTTTGTTTCCTGCCCTCCTGCGAGAACTTCACCCATAGATTAATAAAGTCCACGCTCATGGCATGGATAGATAATTTCACATTTGTAGGATCTCAACCATTTTGCCTGCATTTTCAATTTTCCTACGTCTATACTGGTTATTGTTAAGCAACTACATAAAATTATTGGAGAGGTTGTTCGTTAGAAAGAAGGATTTTTAAGCAATACGTATTTTTGGGTAAGGATGCAAGTATTTTTTCTCATTCATCCATAACTGTACTATGGAGTTTGGAGAGATGTGCAATCTTAGGGAAAATTAGAAGACCTGGACTTTTCCTCAACTATTTCAACCGTTTAGTGAAGAACAGCTTGAAGTTCTGAGTTCTATAATTGTTTTTGCTGTTGCTGCTTATGATAGTATCTTACTAGTTTCGAACCATAGACCAAGGAATAAGTAGACTGCATCCTGCAGTCCAAGTAAGAAACCAGTGAGTTCTAGATTTGATCATGGCCGCATTGCATTGTTTCTTGATTAAGATATATGTTACCTTCTGCTTTTTCGGAGGAGCTTTTCTCTGGTTATTAATAATATATTTCACCATTATCAAAAAAAAAAAAAAAAGATATATGTTACCTTCTACCCAAAAAGGGAAAAAATCTGGTACCTTCACTTTCAATGGGCATCAATATCCGTGCTAATTGTGGTGCTGGGCAGACAAATGCAGATGAAGCTTTGAACTTTCTGTTGATTGATGGCACTTGGAGCAACTCTGCTGCAATGTTCAGGCGGTTGAAGGTAAATCACTCGTTTATGTTGTCTCCCATACACAGAGTCAGCATCAGCATTTGACGGCTTGGTTTTTCGTTTGCATAAGATTTGTGCCGACATCATCAAATAGAAATCTCTTCTACATACAGGAACAGTCGCAGTCTGTGTGGGGGGAGGATCTTCCTTGCATATCCTTGGCTACTGGAGTATCCACGATGCACAAACTCCGGTAAGATGCAAGCCAGGCCAACTTACTGTAATTTATTTTGTTATTGGAGCCATAGCCATTTTACATACGATGTCGATTGGGGTTCCCTATCACAGGCCGCAGCCATCGTGGGACCGTACTTGTACAGCAGCAGCAGCAGCTGGGCTGCTGTTTGAGCTTCAAGAACTTGTAGGGTTCAGCTGCTTTGGCCTGGAGAAGCAGGGTGAAGCGTTGGAGGATGCTGTCTCTCTTCTTTTGGATGCTCTAACCACTCGCCGTCTTAGGATGGGTCGGTCTATAACCCGGAAAATGAGACATGCAATAACTAATTGAGAATCATCATGTATCATAAGAGGGAAAGCTGTTTGGAAATTTTGTCTACTTGGTTGTTTCGTACTTTGAATATATTCGCCTTCCTGCATGGTTAGCAAATGCTTTTCATTTGAGTGACTATTTGCATTAAATTGCGGTGAAACTGCTCGTCATTCTTCTCTTTTGAGATGACTGGTCATGTTGATCTTGAAATTTTATTAATGTCGTTCGATGAAATTTAATTACAAGAGTACGCTTATAAGAATGATTTCAAGCAAGAGCTTTTGAGCTTATCAAACGACATGATCAGGTTCACCTACCTATATGTCACCATCAATTCAATAGGCTGGAAACAAGATCCAGATTAATTGGTTTGAACTCTTGAAATACGATCTCTCCTATCCATACAAAGGAAGCACGAATTTACGAACTCTTTGCTAGGATTAGTAATCACACAATCTAAAGGGTAACTTGACATGAATATCGTTTGGGGTGTAGAATTTTATGATCAGCACGTGGTATTTTACGAATAATTTCATGAAAATAACGACAGCGAAAAAAGAAGTCAAGGTGCAAAATTATTACAAAAATCGGTTCTCATTTGAATGGGTCTTCTCAACCCATAATTGGCAATGCTCTCCCGTTATAAAGCAATCATATAACAACAACAACCCCCTTTTCGAAGGAGAAGACAGACAGAAAGAAAAACCAGGAAAAGAAGAGAAAGAAGAATCCCATAAGCAAGCAATTGAGGAACTTTTGCATTAAGAAAATAAGAATGATGGGTGGAAACACTGCATTGCTCTGTGCTGCGGCAGCTTGCTTTATCCTCCTGCAGCTGCAACCTGTCAGCTCCCATTTCATCTCCTGTAATGAATTCATTCAACACACACTTATCTCCTAATCATAATTTCTCAAAAAAAAAAAAAAATAGTAACTAACCTCCTCTCATTTCCTCTCCACAGCCGACGCTCTTGAAGCCAACAACAGAACAGACCACCCGGGCCGCAGCACGCTCCAACAAGACCAGAAAGACGTCAACCCGATCGAGGCGATCGTGAACAAAGCTCGTAAGCAACAAGATCGATCCCATTTTTCGGTGGTTCGATTAAAGATCGATCCCATTTTTTTCACGATTCATCATAAACTATCTTTCTTTCTTTGTGTGTGGGTGTTGAAAGCCTGCAACAAGGTGAACTTCGACGCGATCAGCTACAAGCCGCTGAGGGAGGAGTGCAAGCCGCCGTACCCAGTAGGGCAGTGCTGCGACGCCCTGAAGAAGCAGGCGTGCCCGTACACCGACGCCATCAACGACGACAAGACGGTGTGCGCTCTGGATCTGTTCTGGAACATCAACAAGTGGTACCCGGCGGGATGGTTCCTCCATCACTGCAAAGAAGGCCCCCATGGCATCCGCTGCGGACCCGATGATTACAAGCACAAAACCTCCGCTGCTGCCCCTTCCCCCAAATCCGACGACGCAACTGGATCCGGATCCGATAAAAAGGGATCTGATCACAAAAACTAGAGAAACTATGAGCACCATTAAGGCAATTTTTGGTTTTTTTTTTGTTCTCCATTCTCGCCAATTTTACAAAATATGTGTAATTTCTCACAGAGCTATATTCCTTCGCATATAATAACTGATTAATTTTTGTGTCATTCTCAATGGTAGTTTTTGGAGGGGAAGTAGTAATCCCTGTGGTTACTAAGGGTGAATTGGGTGTGAAAAAATAAATTATATTAATTAATTAATTTTAATAAATTACATTTTAGATAGTTAAAAAAATCTATTAATTACTATTCTTTCTCTTTTTCTCACTTCCGTAATCTCCAACTAGATCTCCTTTTCATATTTTTCTCAATCTTTCTGCAAAAGAAAAAACACGAAATCACTACAAATCCATTAGACAACCACTACTATTTTGAAAACTATCAACACCATTGCAGAAATAAATCTATACCAAAGAAAATGCAGGTAACCACCAAAGCATAATGCAAACACTACCAAAATAAAATACAAGGTAGCTACCAAAGCAAATCCTCTACCAATACAAACACTACCATTCTAGATTACCTGCAGAAGCAAAGCTGTAATCAACGTCGATTGCGGTGGGAAACGAACGCGGACGCCGGAGGATCTTAAATCAATGTCGCCGGTATGGAGAGGGAGGGATCTGAATAAACGAATTGGGGAGGCAGGAGGAGGAGGGACTAAGGAGATGAGAATAAGAGGGATGAGGGAGGATGAGAGATTCGATTACGACGGCGGAAGGGTGGCCGACTGTAGGGGGGTGTCATTTTCCCACTCCCTTTAGGGGTAGTCATTGCACTGGTAGAACGAAATGGGTTAGGGTGATTACTTGTTTTCTAGTAATCACGGTGACAACCTCTTTATATACCATTAGATTTCATATTTTCCCTTCTTTCTTAATCTTACAGTCAAGATTCTTTTAGGATAATTTTGGAAATGAACAAGTAACCACACCCGATTATTCTATATAATCTACCCAAACCCTAGTTCTACCCTCCCTCCAGCCAAACCCGCAGCAGCCGCCTCCACCACTCCATCGCACTAATCCCGCCGGCTGCCTCGAATCTCGAATAGTAAACACTATTGAATAGTAAAAACATTATTCCTTATCCCCAACTATTTTCAAAACCTAACAACTAAACTAATTACGGGCTATCCTTAATTTGAATTGATTTTATTGTAACACGGCTAGAGTTAAAAGAGTCTTTTTTTTGGTAATCGTTAAAAGAGTCTTTCAACTTTGAGTTACATAAAGAACAAAGTTAAAATTCGAATATGCGATCAGTTCGTGAATTATTGCTAGTATGATATATAGATTTGTTGAGCAGTGAAGACGTCGAGCATATTTTATATTCTTTTTCAGAATATGAAAATACGTTGTGGCCTTTTGTTAAAATTTGTACTAGTCATGTATTTTCTTATTTATGAATTATTTAATTTAATTATTTTTTTTAAAAGAGGACACCCTTATAAAAAATTTCTGGATTCACCACTATCGGTGACGAGCAGCCCTGCACTCCACTGTACTCTACAATTAATCAGAACGTAAACTCTGGACTTAATTTATATGTTGAGACCATGCAAAAGATGAATTTCAGAGTATATGAGTAATTATGAGAGATGAAATGTCCATTTTATAGCTTTTTATTTTTATTTTTATCTTTACTGTTTTGTGTAAAGAATAAAATAGGATTATTCATATTCCAACTAAGGACAACAGGTAGGGCCCAATCTCTAGTTTGAGAAGAGAAGCTGCCTATTGCAATTATTAATTTGTTGAGAAATGATATGTTATTAGCCATCGAGGTATAGTAATTAATGGAAACACATCAAAGGTAAGATAGGCTAATGGTAAAGCTGTCGCGACAGTAAAGGGTTGGGAGTTGCAGATCCCAGGTTCGAATTCAAGCGAGGCCCGTTGGTGTTAACCGGATGTACAAGGTTGCTGGGGGACGAAGTCCTGTTGGCGTCGAATTTGATTGCAGATGACCCCCAAATTTAGTAGGACCCGCTGTCACAAAGTAGCACGTGGTGTTGAGGTTGTTGAGTAATAAAAAAAAATTAATGTAAACACGGAGTTGTAAAAATGACAAAGGCAAACGGATAACAATTTTATAATATTTTTGTTGCTTAAAATAGCTACATGTTGCTACTCATTGTCAATTCCCCAATTGAAAATGGCTCAAGATAGGGTGCAATAACTAAATCTGGACCCTTCATTTAGAAAATCCAGATCTAAGGATGGAGAATTAAAGACTATTTTTATTTTCACTAGCTTTCTTAATTGACTCATATCTTTTTCGTTTTAACTCGGATTTTAATTTTTTTTGCACAAATGGAACGAATTCACCGTGCTCTACAAAATGAGATCAATTTTCAATATTTTTTTAGGAAAAAAAAAATTCTGGCCCCTCGGTACCAACTGCATACCATATGGTATCTTCTTCGTTTTTAATTCGTTTTTGAAAACGTTTGCACAGCAGGGATGAGTTCATCATGATCTACTGGATCTACAAATTTCTGGGTGAACAAATTACAGGACAAAAAAATGCCACACAATACCATACAATACCACCCCGGTACGGGGTGGTATTGTATGGTATCTTCTTCGTTTTTAATTCGTTTTTGAAAACGTTTGCACAGAAGGGACGAGTTCATCATGATCTATTGGATCTACAAATTTCTGGGTGAACAAATTACAGGACCAAAAAATACCACACAATACCATACAATACCACCCTGGTACGGGGTGGTATTGTGTGGTATACAATGTTAAAAGTCGTAAATTACAATTAATATACTTCTACTATCATGTATTCAACCATCCTACAGTATTGGTTTGTTCATACCACCATGGTACGTTTTTCAAAACATAGGTATGCTTTTATTTCAATACCAGTCAATACCATATGGTATAGGCTGGTAAAAAATGGCTCAATTTTTTTTGTTCGAAAAATATATTAAAGTGGATATCATTTTGAAGAGCACAATTAATCTGATCTAACTGTGCAAAAAAAATTAAATTTCGACTTAAAATGAGCGAGAAATCGTCCGTCAAAGATTAAAGAGGGAAAAATTAAAGGCTTTCCATGAGAGAGAGGATGCTGATGTCATGCTGATGTGGACGGGTACTTCATGATTACTCACCATAAGGTTACTGACCTGATCCATTCCCATTGAAAATCATCATCCGGAGAATAGGAAAAATGAAAGAGCTCATCGATAGTTTGATTTAAAAAATGCAAAAATGATGATGTATTAATTTTATTTATTAATTAATGTAACAATTTTGATTTCAATATATTTATTGAAAATTTGTTTTGGCCACAATTGGTTCGTGGAACAGACCTTCCTCTATTCCAGGGCCGACCCCGGTTGGAAAATTCTTTTGGCTCAGGGATTTCAGGTTCCATCGATTGATGATTCTCTGGTGGTGGAGTCTCTTGCCCTCAGGGAAGTTGTCTTATTGTGTGTACACTATGACTTTTAGGATGTAAAGTTTGAAGGCGACGCCAAGGTCATTATTGACAAGATCAATCGGGTGGAGACCAGGGATAGCAGGATTGGTGTTATTCTAGAAGAGATTGTGTAGTGTTTGGGGACTCACTCGGGGTTTAGTCTTCGATTTGTAGGTCGGGATAGCAATAGAGTAGCCCATGCGGTGGCTAAAAGGCCCTTACTTTGTACCCGGCTACGTGTCGATCTTTTAATTTTCAGGCCTGCCTACGATCCAGGATATAACTATCTTCCTCTGTTGAATCAATATATAATTATCTTTTGTAAAAAAAAGGCAAAATACACTTGTATAGCCAAAACTTTTGCGTTTTTGCCAATAATAGCCAAATTTGACGAAATACCACTTATAGCCACTTCCGTCCAATTCTTTAACGGTGTTAACTAACATGCTGAATGGACTAACAGAAAAACTGATGTGGCAGCTTAGGTGGAATTAACCAAAATAAAAAATTGTTTATTTATTTTCGATCTGCTCTCTCTTCTTTCCCCTTCCCTTCCCAGTACCCTCGGCCGCCGCTTCAGAGATGGAATCCAATCGATCTCTCCTCCTACCCCATCACCGCCATTAGTCATCACCACCAGATCGTTGTCGTTCGTCTCCACAGTGACAAAAGCTCCAAATCGTCAAGGCCACCAGCAACCGCTCGTTGTCCCTAGCCATCGTTGGGCAGAAGAAAAGAGAAGAAGAAAGTCCAATCGCCGTCCACAGCCGTCGTCGCTCCAGATCGAGCTTCCCCAGCAGATCTGCAAGAAATCAAGTAGCGGCGGGAAGCGACGCCATCTCCCCTCGCCGCAGCCGAAGATCTGGAGTCAAAATTAGGGATTTCTAACAATCAATTTGTCGATTCTTGCCCAGCCGCTATGTCACCTCGTTGGGGAGGATTCAGATCACCGGAAAATTACCCAACATGATAACCCGACCGACGATTTTCAATACATCATCAAGGAGATGATTTGCTCCTCACCGTCGCGCTGTCGTCAAGCAATAGCAGAGGGCAAGGGCTCGGGCGATGATTGGTGTGGAAAAATCGGCGATCTGATGGGATGAAGTTAAAACGAAGGGCGGGCGGAGATCTGGGTTCGATCAAGATCTAGGATTTGGGAATAACCAGTCCGCCACTAGTACTTGGCAGCGACGAGCATGTTCAGTGTCAGAGCCGGGGGCGATGTAGATGAGTGAAACGACTGGGTAATGCAAGAGGTGGGTGTGGCGCGGAACGGCGGAGTCGGGGACAACTTTAATCAGCGGAGGGTGTTCAAAGGAGGCGGCGGTGATGGGTTCTGAAACCCTAGTTGCAATGGGGGAAGTGAAAAAAGGAGGGAGAACGAGGCTCGGGTCCCCAATAGGGTGCCAATTTAGTTTTTTTTTTCTTTTTAGTTTTTTCTTTTTTTTTTAATGACATGTCGTCCTACTTGTCACTAAAGTCTGAGGTGTAAACGAAGGAGAGGCTGAGAAGGCAGCCAAGTCAGCATTCCGTTTATTCCACTAACGGTGTCACTAACACCGTTAAAGAATGTAACGGAAATGGCTATATTTGTCATCAAACATTCAAAATTCTGGCTATATATGGTATTTCGCCAAAAATGGCTATTATTGTCACAATCGTCAAAATTTTGGCTATGCAAGTGTATTTTGCCTAAAAAAAAATATTAATTTTTCAATAGAAGGAGGACTTCAACCTCCAACCTTGTTGTTAACCGCTACAAGCTCTAACCAACTAAGTTATTGGTTCATACATTTTAAAGGGTACATTTTCCTCAATATTTTATATATATATATATATATATATATATATATATATGAAATAGGTTGTACTCCTAGAATATATTATACTTCGTGTACTTCTAATGAGATATCTCTATCTATACCATGAACAAAATGAATTTGGGATGTGATACCACACACTAACCTCTAATGAATAAACTCATACCCCAATTTTCAAACATCAAACCATAATCAATTTAATAAAAAATAACAATCAACAGTTCTGATTCGTTGATGTACAACGAAATACATCCAACAACCATATCACTTGGATTATGGTATACTCCTTGAGTACAACAGTCATTACTGTGTGTGTATGCATGACTGTTATACTCCTGGAGTATATGATACTCCGGTTACTCATAGTGAGATATCTATATATAAATCATGAATTAAACTGAATTTAAGTTAATTATGATTTTATACTCTAACTTCTAATGGATAAACCCTAGACCTCATTTCTCTAAACCTAAAGATTAATTTAATAAAAATAATAATCGACGATTATGATTCCCCGAAGTGGAATGAAGCTACATCTAAGATCATCTGGATTACGGTTAGGAGTACGCCAAACATTACCACACGCGCATATATATATTCCAAGTTATTCAATGATAAATATAAGAGGGGCACACATTCTTAGTTAGAAAATGCTAGTAGATCTTTAATTAATCAAGTCTCGGAGCATGATACTATACCATAAACCATAATAAATTAAACCTACTAGTCCTAGTTCTTTAAATTCTACACTCTAAAATAAATTTAATTCGAAACAATTATCGATGATTTTGATTCCTCAAAAGAAATTAAACTACTAGATACACCATCTCAGAGTTTAGAGGTTTGAGAATTAGGATTTAGGGTTTAATCATTAAAGGTTAGGATATAGTATGATGTCTCAAAAATAGGGCAATTCAATGACTAAATAATGTTTTCTTACTAAGGGTATGCAATACTCTTAGATTTCCTCTAGGCATGATTTATAACATCTTTATTACTCAAAATTTTTGTCAATATATGCTACTAGATCATGAGAAGCAACATTAGCATTAACAATTTCAAAGTGATCAACATTAGCAACAATAGCATCAACAATGCTAAGCATTAAAAGGAATTGATGAATTAGGTTAGTTAATGGGGAAGGCAAAAGTGAATCCTTTATATTCATCAGTCTATTTAGTTCTCAAATTTATATTGGTTTTAGCTGAGGCAAGTGTTCAAAGCATTGTTATTAAAGCCGAACCGAGCTTGTCGGTTTGACCGTTAATCAATAATCAACTCGATTCGATTGAACAATATCCATACATGTTAAGAGTCAGACGACCAGATACGTTATGTTAAGAATTTAAATTTTAAACTTGTTTTAAAATTTGATTGATTTATGGTTTAGTATGCTATTATATATATTCTGTTTTATAATATTCTTATTCATAAGTTATCGCTTTGATAATGGGGTTTTCACGGTATAATACTGGTTAAACCAATAAAATGTCAACCACTCACTTCACCGGTTCATACTCCGATTTGGTTCTAATAACATTGGTTCAAAGAGCTTGTTCAGTTTTGGACTACATTAAGAACGAGTTCCGAAATTGAATAGGCAAATCGTTTATTAATAACTTTCAGTGGGAGATATTGAAAGATATTTGTTGAGCATTATAGACGCAGAGTGTATTTTACAGTTTTTTTTTCTTCAGAATATGAAAACACATCTTTGTATTTTGTTTGATTGTAATAGTCGAATATTTTCTAATTCAAGGAAAAATGTATATATTTTAATTTTTTTTAGAAGAGAACCCCACTAAGTAAAATTTCTCGATCCGTGATTCCATAATTCAGTAGAGCGGCAGGAATTATAAAAAAAAGAAGTTAAAGCACTATAGGAGAAAGAAGGAATACTAAGAAGGTTTTGAATTGAATGAGTCTCCCCATTACTAAATTTATCCTTAAACGGGGTAACACCTAAATAGAAGGAAAGCTGGAAAAATAAGTTGTGGTAAATACCAAGATTAGCCTATCCGATTTGAAGGCAGATAACTTATTTCCCAAAAATAGAACAAACTCCCAAAATAGAGATTGCAAAGGGGGACTATAAAGACTCCCCAGAGATGAACAAGAAAGCTCGGGATGCCTTGCTCGATCGATCTCCACTCTCCAGCACGAGACTTGGAGATCGATTTCATTCATTCAATCAATAACACCTTACATAAACAGGAGTAGTGAATAAAAACACAGGAAACAAAAATAAAATGGCTTCCTACAAGGCCTTTATTTGGGTGCTTTGCTTCATCTTCTTCGTGGAACTTGTCAGCTCCCAATTCATCTCCCGTAAGATAGATCCTCTCTATCTAATTTATCAAAAATATTCTAGCTCGTTTTCTGCATAGAATTCTGTGAAAAGCCGTATTCGACCAAAGTCATACATATTAATATATATATTTATTAGGGTGTGGTAGTATTGTATCCTGACGTTTTGAATTTGCCCACCCTTCTCAGCCGAAGCTATGAAAATGAATAACATCACCGAGCCACACAGCCGCAGCATGCTCCAGAGGCACAGGTACGGCCACCACAAGCACCGGCACCACGCCGCCACCGTAGTGGCAGGCTGCAAGGTGAACTTCGACGCAGTAAACTACATGCCCCTGCGCAGGCGTTGCAGGGCTCCGTACCGAACGGGAACCTGCTGCCCGGCTTTCAAGAGAGTGGCATGCCGCTTTACCGATGAAATCAACGACCAGAAGTCAAATTGTGCCGGTGAGATGTTTGGCCACATCAACAGGTTCTACCCCAAAGGCTGGTTCTTCCAGAACTGCGGAGAAGGGCCCTTAGGCCTCAACTGCCTGCAGATTTAGATCAGCTGATCCCACCCTTCCTTTGTCTCCCGTGTTCAAATTCTATATTCACTACTCCTGTTATAAGTTTTCACATTAATAATAATAATAATAATATAATTATTCTTAAAATTGTGGGAGTTATCCAACTTTTTCATTTCCAATTGAATTGGGAAAATTCTCATTTCATTTATCCACGTGAATGGATTTATTTCATGCAAATTTGGATTTGTCATTCCATTAAATGTTTGCCCGCGTGATGCATGGTTTGATGAAAGAATGCAACTTTTCATGAAATAATGATATAGTGTCTAGATCCGGATGATGACATCGTTTGGAATTGGAAGTTATAGTCATCAAACGTTTTCATGAGGCAATATAATTCTTCATTTGTTGTCTCTACAAATAGGGACAACTGATGTTGTGAAAGGGATACATGAAAGTGGTGATAGTTTTGTCCTACGAAGAAATTTCATGTAACCCAAGGCTTTGTAGAGGGTGAAAATATTCTTTACGAAAAGTGAACGTTGTTCACGACTCTATCATAATCCAAGTCACCCGTTATCAGGCTATCCTACGTGTACCCTAGTCCCTAAATTCCCAACAGCCGTAAAGAATAATTTCCGGTATGATGGCTCGAACCACTCTTTACAAGCAACCGGTTTCGGTCTATGGAAAATTTGAGAATTTTCGATGATGTGTATTTCATCGATGGTAGTAGAAGATGCGTTCTCTTTGTACTAGTCTCATGGTGTATTCCATATCCGGAAGGTAACTTGGAAGAGGGATCATTCGAAGATGAGGAAGAAGTAGCATGCTTCATAAATGGAGAATTAGAAGAATGACAATTGTCTTTCTGTAGGTCACATACACAATGGTTAATTTGTTTGATTCTCTATTTGAAACTTGCGAAGTTCTAAACAAATTTTAATTTGTCTAAGTAGTTTTATGGTGTGATTTTGTCAAGTGGTTTGTGTTATGTTAAACCAAAGAGACAAAATGCAGATACAGTATTTGATGATTCTCGTAATAGAGTCGTCATATGTGTATTTAGATGACATACTTATCTTTGGGACCAATCAAAGATAAGAGGAGTTTAAGGAAAAGCTTTTGTCATATAAAATTTCCCATGTGGGACATGGGGGAGGAAAATGTTATTGTGTGTTAAATCAATCGGAACAACAAAGAAGATTCATTCTCTCAATACAGAAAAAATTTCATAAAAGGAATTGTCGTGAGTTAAGGACCCTAATGGATGCAAGTATGGAACTTATGGTTAATACAAGAAAACAGTTTACAATTGGAGTATTCCATGTTAAATTAGGTGCTTGATGAATGCAATGACTTGCATAAGACCAGATATAGCATATGCAGCATGACAACAAAGTTGGTGTAGGAGTAATTCTAGTACTCATTTTTTGGAAATGAAATGTGGCGTGTACCAGAATATCTCAAAGGTACATTGTATTGACTTATAGTGGCTTTCCATCCATTTTGGAAGGATTTGTTGATGTTAGTTGGATTTCTCATGTTTAAGGTGATACTTCAATATCGAGATGGGTCTCTTGCTTGGGGGAGTGGCCATATCTTGGACCTCTAAAAAGAAAACTTGCATCACTAAGTTTCACTATGGAGTAAAAGTTTTTGGCCTTGATTTCTCTTAGAGAAAATGCATTATTGTTGAGATGCTTGGTTTATGACATTAATTTATGGCTAAAGCCAATCTCAGCTATTGATATTCTTAGTGATAGTAATGCTACTTTGGCTAAGACATAGCCAAGTGAAATGACAAGTACGGTCATGTGGGAGTTAGGCACTGTAAATTGATAAGTCATGGAGTTGTGTCAATGTAATGTGAACGGTTTTGAGATAATTTAGTTGATCATTTGACGAAATTATTAAATGGAGACTTGGTGGTCAAGTCTGTGAAAGGGATGGGTTTAAAGTCCATGTAATTTCTAATCATGGGACACCCAATTCCCCTCTAATATAACGTTAGAGGCCAAATTCAATGTGGGAAGCTTATTATTAGAAATTGAAGCACACAATTTGTCATCCCAATGTATGTGCTTGTTATACTGCATGAGAGAAGAGGATGAAGTTTAATACTTCTGAATTGAATATTTGAAAAAGTGTGTTATGTGGGTACACAAATAAGAGATTCAACCTACGTAAGCATGTAGTTATGAGAAGGATTGGACACATTGCGAGTAATAGTGTCGAGGCACTTAGAAGTTTGTGAAACTTAAGTGTATATTATCTTCGAATATTCATATGAGTAGATGGGTTCAATCGTTATCTACACTCAAATATTTAGATATTCGTCAAGTGTAATATGCTAAGATGAAAATTCAATCGTCACGACATTTTCATTTGTGCTTAAGTTTTGTTTGAAAGATGTTGTAATTTTAGTGGATTCTCTGAATACACTAACAAGGGGTAGGAATGTTTAAAATTTGGTCAAATCGGTTTGGAGTTGGACGAAGTTGGTTAAAATATTGGGTTAGGTCGAATTGGGAAACCTCCCATTTCATTTCTCCACGTGAATGGATTTATTTCATGCAAATTTGGATTTTTCATTCCATTAAATGTTTGCCCACGTAATGCCTGGTTTTATGAAATAATGCAACTTTTCATGAAATGATATGGTGCCTGGATCCGAATGATGAAAATGTTTTGGAATTGGCAGTTATGGCCATCAAACGTTCTCATAAATAGGGGCAACCGATGTTGTGAAAGGGACACACCAAAACCATTATTGTTATTCGTTCTAATAAACTTCTAAGTATACTTTAGGATTCTTAAGTCTAGAACCTAAAGTGGTGATAGTTTTATCATAAGAAGAAATTTCCTGTAACTCAAACCTTTGTAAAGGGTGGAAATATTCTTTACGGAAAGTGAACGTTGTTCACAACTTCATCATAATCCAAGTCACCCAGTATCGAAATATCGTACGTGTACCCTCATCCCTAATGTCCCAACACCCTCTCTAAAGGGTGTATCAATCTCCCTACTATCACAATATACTTCTCTATTGACCGATGAATCGTTTACAAAATAACAAAGTGATCTTGATATATGTTTGATGATGAGTAACAATGATTTTGATGTGAAAACCTAGAAGGCTTAAGTTGATCTCATTGCATCTCACAACTTATATAGCTGGAGTTTTTGTGGTTACAAAGCCTCAGGTGAGGTTTACAATTCAAGGAAAGAATAAAGGTTGAACATGAAGAAAGTACAACTCGAAGGAGGAAATTGAACAATTTAAGAACACAGGGTGTTGTTTGATAATTATCCAGATATGAGATTTTTCTAGCTTCGATGACTTATCGTTGTAGGTGAACTGTCATTTGGTTTATTGGTCGTGTTTTTGTTTTAACTATGAAGGTCGCCAATTTTTTTGTTTTTCCCGGATACCTCATGCAAGCTGATGGGCAAAGATTGAGCACGCCCGGCTTGGAGAGGAAATGAGAAAACATCTTGAAAGGCACGGATTTAGTGAGGAGGTCATCCAGTTGGTGAATTGTATAGACATGGAGGAGCTTGATCTCAATGTGTTTTGTGAGCTCGTGGAATTTTGGGTTCTTGAAAATTTATTTGGTCGACACAGAAGAGGATGGCAAGTTTGGGATGTTTGATGTTAAAATCTTTGAGCATATAGAGGATCAACTGGACTTCACAAGTTGTGTAAGTTAATGTTCGATACTCTGCTTCACAGGAGGATATGAAGATCGTCGTCTGCTTTTTTGCTCTTTGACTCACTAAAACTATCGACCGCCGCCCTTCCCTCCTCCTACGCCGCCTCACCGCTGCCAACACTATCGATCTGTGTGAAGAACCACCCCTTCAACGTTGAAGCAAATTGGTAGGCGGGGGGCAGAAAGTGAGAGAAGGAGGTAGGGCAACCGTTCGATTCTGGCAATCCTATGCCTCCCACGGCCCTTCGACGATGGCTGAATCTAATGACAATGGAATCTCCCTCCATTCACCTTCTTCCTCTTGCTCGATCCGCTACTTATGAATAAGGTTCAGGTTCAACATGAATTGGGTTCTTTTTACGGTCAGGTTAGTGACTCCCTGATGCAGCTAATCAAATCGATTTGGTGATCAATTGACGAGATTTCTTGGTGGGGAGAGTTAAGGTTTTACAAGAGTTGGCGAGTTGGGGATTGGGCAGAGTTGTAATTGAAGCAGTGTTTGAATTGAGGGGTCTTGAGTGAGTGATTACAACGAGAAAGACAACTTCGATCTTGGGTTGGGATTTTTGGATTCTGTTCCATCTCATGATCGTATACTGGTATGCATGTAAGCCAAGTGTTTTGCCGTTTGTTTTTGCAGCTACTCTAATCTTATTTTAAAAGTAACCATTCCAAAACTCTCATTGGATAATATAATTGTTAATCGATAGTGTTTGTGATCTTATAATGGTATCTATGTAAATTTTTAGAGCCCCTTTTTGAATAATTATGGTACAGTTATGTTATAAGAAGATACAAACATTTGATGAATTTTGTTTTTATATTTTGAAGAGTATTTTCATGGGTTTCTCTTTTCTACTTATAAAATGCCTGTGAAGCAAATCATCGCACTCATGGTCCAACCAATTACACAATTTGGAAAGAATAAATAGATTCATTTTTGGGCTGATTCATCCTTCCCAACTTATCATAATTATAACTTATTTTAATCATGATATTGCATAAAGCACATGGATGTTAAGTCCACTAATGAAGTCTCAAAGATCTACACGAAGACAAAGTGGAATTTATTTTTGAAGAAAATTTATAAAATCAAATAAAAAATACTAACTTTGACAAGAAAATTGAAACCAATATAATTAGATATTCACGGTTACCCGCCGCAGAGCGAGTGCCAAGTTTCTAGTTAAAATAATTTTACATATGATGTGTTAATGACATCAAACACTAACAGTTGATGAATAGATTTGCTTTCCTAATCCCTATTCTTTTCCAAACATAGGGAGAACTAATGGGAAGACGAGATAAATTCAAGGCATTTAGGAAGGAGGTCGAGGAGAGGCCATATTTAATGTAGGAATGATTGAGGATATTAGGGGTTTGGACTTCTAATTGGGTCTCAAATCCAATTTGGAGACTTAAAACTCTCCAAGGAGGAAGAATTTCATATTACCAAGAAAAAGGAAAAGGAATACATTGTTGTCTTTCCACCATTATTATCATCAAGATGTTTGGCATCAATTTGTGCTTCTTCTGCGTAGCTTGCCTCTTCTTCCCTTTCTTTGGATTTGCCTACTCCAATTTCATTTCCAGTAAGAACCTTCCTCCCTCCCTTCTCCTTTTGAACCTTTTCTGGCCATTTCTCTCAATATTTGTTTTACAACTGTAGATGGTGCGCTTGATGCTGATCATCGATCCGCTGGAGGCCCTAATCGTGTCCTTCTTCAATTGAAAAAAGGTAACCAATGTTTCTCTCCTAGATTTAGTAATTTTTTTTATATATTTTAGATCGTAAAAGACACGAATTTTAAAAATGGTCCAGCTTGCAATGTGAGCTTTCAAGATATGGACTACACGATCTTGACGACGCAATGCAAAGGTCCATTGTACCCGAAAAATCAATGTTGTGATGCGTTGAAGCAATTTGCTTGCCCTTATACCAACGAGATCAACGATGCCAGCACGAACTGCGCAGAGACCATGTTCAGTTACATCAATCTCTATGGCAAGTACCCTGCCGGCCTCTTCGCCAACACTTGCAAGGAAGGAAAAGTCGGTCTCGATTGTGCCGCCGGCCCCAAGAAGAATGGAGTTACCTCCAATAACGTCCATCTCTTCCTCTTGCCCATGGTGGTTGTAATGTTCAGCATTGCAGCAATTATTTGATCCTCTTATAACTTAGAGTTGTTTTGAAGCCAAAATTTCAAAGTAAAAAAGATTTGGGTATGTAATGAGTCAACATGAATGGGCGATACATGCATGATCTTGGTAAAAGAAACAAAATGTTTTTGATGGGAATTAATGAAAAACACGCTCAAGGCTATGGACGACGATTGATCCTTCCTTACATTGCAGGTTTTATGATTTATACAATGAATATCTTACCAGGTAGTTTAATAGCATGTTTGGTTCAGTTTCATAATCTCTAGTCTATAGGCTCCAATATGTTCAATCACTATATTAGACATTTTTAAGTTGATGGAAAAGATTGTACAACCATATACATACGAATTTGGTGGAATACAGATTTCCATCTTTGGAACATTGCCTCCAAAAATATGTTATAGTTCAATCGATCAAGTGTTTGCACTCGCTGGGTTCTGCACCTGGATTCGGCACGTTCCGATCATCGGCCTATTGTGTGTGAGACATTGGGAGACGAAGATGACATAAAATGGGGCTGGAATTTTAGGTTCGAGCCGCTGTGGTGAAACATGCAGCGTGTGCTGAGACTATTAAGGAGGCCTGGACTTCGGCTACTGGGGAGGCGATGGCTAAGCTCGTAAATGTGCAAGAGAAGCTTGATAAATGGAGTAGGGTGACGTTCCCAAACTTTGGAAGACAGAAGGATAAAATTCGCCGGGCTTTAAGGGCGCTGGATAGGAGGGAGAAAACTGATGACGTTATACAACAAAAACGAAAGCTTCAATTGGAGCTAGACGACCTGGAAAGCGATGAGGAGCTGTTCTGGAAGCAACGGTCGAGGGCGGACTGGCTCCGGGAGGGTGACCTGAACACGAGCTTTTTCCATAGAAAAGCTACAATGCGTAGGAAGCGCAACTTGATTCGTAAGCTGCGAGATGAGTTTGGAGCGTGGTGGCGAGGTAATGAGGATGTGTCCATGTGTCTTACAAAATATTTCACTGAGCTGTTCATGGTTGGGGGTCGTCCACCTCTGACGCCAGTTTTGGACTCGGTTGAGACGCGTGTGGATGCAGAGATGAATGCTTGGCTAGAGCGTCCTTTGACACGGGAAGAGCTCTATGAAGCCCTTCGACAAATGGGGAAAAGGAAGGCACCGGGATCGGACGGCATGTCAGCCTTCTTCTTCGTGAAGTATTGGGATATTGTCGGTGATGAGGTCTCGGAGTTATTGCTTGGGGCGTGGGAAAGTGGGATAATGCCGACGGGTCTGAACCACACTTTAATTGCACTGATCCCGAAAGTAAAAGACCCAATCATGGCTAAAGATTTCCGACCGATAAGCCTGTGTAATGTGATGTATAAGATGCTCTCGAAGGCGATGGCGAATAGATTAAAATCCTGGGCGCTTTATCGTGGATAATGTGATGACAGCCTTTGAATGTTTTCATACTATGAAGAAGAAAACAAAAAAACAAGACGGGCTACTTGGCGGCTAAGACGGACATGGCAAAAGCCTATGATCGAGCCGAATGGTGGTTCCTCGAAGAGATGATGAGTAGACTGGGGTTTGCAGAGAGCTGGATCCAGAGAATTATGATGTGTGTAAAATCAGTTACATACTCTATTCTGGTTAATGGGGACCGATCACATTCTTTTGCTCCCAGCAGAGGAATCCGGCAGGGTGACCCACTGTCACCGTACTTATTCCTGTTGGTGGGAGAGGGTTTGTCTAGCTATGTTTCGCTGGCGGTCAGGCAGAAGCGCATTCATGGGCTGTCAGTGGCGAGGGGAGCTCCTGTGATATCACACCTATTTTTTGCTGACGATTCTATCTTTTTTGCTAGGGCGACAGTAAATGAAGGTATGGAGCTGAGAAGAGTTCTTGATGATTACCAAACGGAATCTGGACAACTGGTTAGCCTTGAAAAGTCTGAGGTTACCTTTGGGTCTAATGTGAAGGTGCGTCAACGGCTGATGGTCAGTTCGACGTTGGGCATGAAAGTGGTAGAGAAGAATGACAAGTACTTGGGATTGGTGACTCAAGTTGGCAGATCGAAGAAGGAAGTGTTTGTGTACTTAAAGGACAGGGTGCGGAAGAAACTGTCTGGATGGAAGGAGAGGACGATGTCAGCTGTAGCTAGAGAGGTTTTGATTAAGTCGGTGGCCCAGGCTCAGTTAACTTACACCATGTCGGTCTTTAAGGTTCCTGACGGAGTCATTGACGAGATCCATAGCCTAATCACCCAATTCTGGTGGGGACAGAAAGGCCAGGAGAAGAGAATACCCTGGCTTGCGAGAGAGGCCCTTATATGCTCTAAAGCACAGGGTGGAATGGGGTTCAGGGACCTTCGTGGTTTCAACCAAGCTCTCCTTGCGCGCCAAGTGTGGAATCTCTACAACCGACCGGACTCTCTAGTGGCTAGGCTGCTAAAAGCAAAATACCATAAGAATGACTCGATTCTAGATGCGCGTGTGGGAGGGCGACCGAGCTATGTCTGGAGAAGCCTCATGAGCGCGCAAGAATTTTTGGTGGATGGAATGCGTTGGCGTAATGGGAATGGAGCATCGGTGAGAATATGGGGTGACCGCTGGGTACTATCGTCGCCGGGTTTCATCATCCAATCCCCCCCGACCGGTCTTCCGGTGGATGCAGTGGTACGTGATCTGTTTGAGGAAGGGATGGATAATTGGGATGATACCATGCTTGAGAGTTTCTTTCCAGCTGACATGGTAAATGCCATCCGCCAGATACCCCTACGAGACTGGGGGGAGCCGGATCGCATGATTTGGGCTGACAGCAAAGATGGTAAGTATACTGCCCGGGACGGATACAGAACATGGCTGGGGAAGCACCAACTTGAGAGCGGTGATTGTAGCGTGGGGGAGCCAGCCATATGGAATCGCCTTTGGGCGATGAATGTGCCTCCAAAGGTCAAGATATTTATGTGGAAGTTCATGAGGGGGGCTCTAGTAACGGGCGAGCAGGTGAGTAAGCGCAATCCCAGACGAGGTGACTCGTGTCCCTTTGTAATCAAGTGGAAACACAAGTGCATTTGTTCTATCAATGCGCATTGATGAGCATATTATGGAGGGCCTCGCGTGTCGCCCACTGTTTCGAGTTAAGGGGTGATTCAAGCTGCATGGAATGGTTTTGGAAGGTAGCAAAAGCGGTCCCAGAAAATGTATTAGAAGATTGGGTGGTCCTCTTATGGATATTTTGGAAAGAGAGGAATGCTCACCTCTTTAATGGTGTGAAGATGGAGGAGATGGAGATAGTTCCCTGGGCAGAGGCTTTCTTGGACAAGTATCGGTTGCACCAAGCTTGCACTGAAGTGCCTCCAATGGCCAGCGAAAATCAACGTTGGACAAAACCGGAGGAGGGAAGGCTGAAGATTAACACCGACGCAGGGGTTGGAGCGGAAGGCGTAGGACTGGGTGTGGTGGTCCGTAACCACATGGGAGCTTTTGTCATGGCAGCGGCAAAACAGATAAGAGGAGTACTGGATCCGACGATGGGGAAGGCACTTGCAGTTGAGTTTGGACTACAGCTTGCGCGCCAGCACCATATGGAGAGACCGATCCTGGAATCAGACTGTTTGAACGTGGTAACAGGTGTCAGACGTTCGCTAGAAATACAAACGGAGCTCGGGGTGATCTGCAGGAATATCAGCAAGTTATTGGAAGAGACAGGTGGGGGGACATTACAATATGTTAGCCGAAAGGCAAATGAATCTGCGCACATTATGGCGCATACAAGAACTCTGTGGGATATAGCGGATGTATGGTTTGATAGGTCTCCGCTGAATCTGATTGATCAGCTTAGAATGGATGATGTAACTTCCCCAAATCAATAAAAGCTGGCTATAGGGTCCGATAAAAAAAAAGTGTTTGCACTCGCTAGAGGGAAAACTCCAAGTTTGAATCCACCCCTCACATAGTAGTTCTCTAGGAGGCACCCTTTTAATCATGAAAAATCATACTTGTAGTGGCTTTGCGTAAGTCAGTTTAGTAATTAGTTGTCCGGCTCCAAGCCTGTGTGTGAAATTGTCCTTGTAGGCTTCGTGTAATTCAATCTACGACACTTTTGTACTTAGATTTAAATGAATAAAGTAAATTAGCTAACACTTAACAACAAGAAATATATATTACAATTTTCCAGAATCACAAATTTATAGATAGTGGTTTATCAAAGTCCAAAATTCGTAAAAGAATATTTGAATATTGTATAAGAGAACAATAAGGATGATTTAGAAAAGGGAAAATACAATATATTAGCCATAACTATTAAGCAGCGGGGAATTATAGCCACAACTATCGAAATACAAATTATTAGCCAATCGTCAAGTTTTTGTTAACACTTCTATTAGTAATGATGACTAAGCTTTTACGATGGTGAGCTGGCTCCCCCGTGGCACTCATCATATCTTATTTTTTACGATGCTGATATGGCCTTCTACGTTAAAAATTTGAAAACAGTAACGGGCTGTTAGCCAAATCTTGACCCACAACAATAGTTATGGCTAATAATTTGTATTTCGATAGTTGTGGCTATAATTCCCCGCTACTTAATAGTTATGGATAATATATTGTATTTACCCTTTAGTAAATGGTGAATTAGGAGTGACGATGGATGACTCAAAACTTTGTTGGGATCTTTCCCTTTCTGCACATGACACCAATGACCAAACAAGGACAATGAGTCTTTATTATTGTGGGTTATAGGTATAACATGCCCCTCTACTATGCAGTTTTATCAAACATGCTTCTTTACTATTTTTTACATCAAACATGCCCATATACTTTGTAAAAACGATCAAACATGCCCTTCTCTTTAAATTTGCATTAAAAAACCATCAACCATGGTCGAACCTTAGTTTGGGCGACACCTATGTCTAAAATATTCTTAATAATTTCACTTTATAATTGTTTTGTTTCTTTTGTATAGTCAAATATCTCTAATAATTTCACTTTAACGAGACCTGGAGAAGTAAATGAGGAGGAAAAACCGTGGTTGACCATTTTTAATGGAAATTTTAACATGAGGGCATGTTTGATGTAAAAAATAGTAGAGGGGCATGTTTGATGTAAAAAATAGTAGAGGGGCATGTTTGATAAAACTGTATAGTAGAGGGGCATATTATACCTATAACCCTATTATTATTGATATTACTTGTCATTATCAAAAATGAAATTGCAGGAAAGGATTCCCAAATCAAATGAAGATCAAGAGAAGACTGTTACCAACAAAGCAGTATAAATAGAAGAAAGCAACTAGACAAGGATTCCCAAATCAACAAAGCAGGAAAGGATTCCCAAATCAAATGAAATTGCAGTGA